AGCTGGAACAAAAGGTAAGCGTGGCACGAAAGCCCCCCCCCTTACTGGTGGAGCACCTGAGACCTAAGGAAAGAACCATGAAAATACTTCGTAGTTGTGCAGCCTACAGAGTAGAGACAAGGCGTGCGAGGGCAAGATACAAAAGGAGCCGAACCTTTAACAAGGTCGCCAGCATCCACTCACAAAGGTATTCACATAAAAGAAGGCAAATAGAGTAGATAGTACTCTGTAAGAAGTAGTGAAAACGATTGCTCACCGGAACATTGAGTAGTCAAAGTAAATACGCAATGATTCGGCTGCTCGACCCAGATTCATAGCTCGGATGTGACAGAGCATCTCGAGGAGGTGCTGAATAACAGCGTCAGATCTAGTGTACGATATGGTTGATTAGAAAAAAGGCTCTATTCCACGCAAGAGGTCGCATGGACAAATAATTTTGAAGGGTTCAAATATTTGCTGGAAAAAAAATGAATGCCAATCTCACCACTTGCACAATGTCAACATGATTCTTGCGGATGATCTGACACCAGTCCATTATCTCGTTATCGGGTAGAGCAGCACTTGGGCATACCTGGAAATGTATGGCTCATTTACACAACCGGAAAATGCCACAATGGTGGGGAAATGAGACCAGATAAATGCGAAACACTATAATGGTCCAAATGGTACCGCTTTCCGAAGAATAGAAATCTCAAGACATTAACGCAACCACAGATGAAAACGGACAACATAGATGAATGCAATCGCGCGGCAATCACTAATTGAAGACATGAATTGTAAGCGCTAACGTGCGAATTACTTAATTCTCACAATGGAAGAATATGATCTGCTTGGGAAATACTTCTTACGGCAAAATTAAACGCGCTTAGAATGAAAACCCAGTTTTGAGAGTCTTAGCTTCGCCTCTTTAGCTTCAACTGCATGCTTGAAAGAAACAACAGACCTGTAAAAGATGCATCTGATTTGCTATCCATTTTCGTGCACGTCCTGATGATTCTATCTCAAACGGTATCACAGTAGACTGGTTACCGACATTGAAAATCTCAAAACTGCAATAGAGCAAGATAAACAACAATAACTCAAAAATAGTCCAAAC